CAATACATTCTTCTCCAGATATGCTACTATAGCTTGATATTCCTTAAGAGCTTCGACTTCGCGCGCCATGGATTCAAATTCAGGTGAAAACATGTATTCCAGAGCATTCAGTACTTTTTCATCTTGTTCTACGTAGCTGATAATAACCTCAACAATATTTTCCATCGGAAGAAGTTGTACAAAGTCCATCAATTCTTCCTCCAGCGTACGCTCTTGGTAAACAAAATCATTGTTCGGTGTAGTGATGCCGAGAACTATATACATGATATCAGCTGCGATTTGTGTATTCACTCCGCTACTTTTGAGTCCATTTTCAATGGTTTGGAAGGATTCAATTTGGTAGGCTTTGTTTACGGCCTGCTGGAAGTTGTTGGACTTGAGTTGGTCGATGAGGCCGACGAAAGCTGAAGAAGTTTTTATCTTTTGCGCGTAGGTATGAATAAACTTGTCTAAAGGAACCACTTTCTTTATGTCTCTGAAAAGTCCTGCAAGTCCACCGGTTCTATGTATCACAGGACGGAAATGAGAAGAAGGCGGCACGAGTTCGTCGATACCGAGAGCCTTGTTAATTGCGTTCACTAACAAATAAGCATCGACGCCTTGCTTTTGCACATAATTTATAACGTTGATCACTTCAGGAATAGCTTCCAAACCTACCACCAAATCTTTTAATACGGTCAAAGTTAGAAGATAACTTACAGCGGCTTGTACTTCCGGATCGTTCGATACGTAATCCGTAACGATATTGCTAATTTCTTGAGAAGGAACTAAATCCAAAAAATCTTGGACATCCTCGTGGAGAGGCCCGCTGCCAAAGTCCGGGAACGGATGAGCTTGTCCCAGACCGACAATGGCCAAGACGGCAAATAATACTGATATAAACTTCATCTATAAATGTAACATAACCACCCATAAAAAATTAGTATTGAATGTATCACAATTATATGTTTAAGTATATAAATGTAATGTAATAGAAAACAATTACTTTAAATAATGTATTTTAATTTTCTTAATTATGATTGTTTCATTTACAATTACGATACAAGATTAATGACAAAGAGAAATAATAATTATTAATTGAGATATTATGTTTCTTTAATTATGTGCAATTCGTTTCTACTTAAAAAAATCAATTTTATTTAAAAAAGACTTTGTATTAACTTACCTTAAAAACTTGAAACTTGAAACTTTTGTCTTAACGTGACACCTGTCGATGATCACTCTGTGACATGCTCGCAAATAGTCACGACAAATATATATCAAAAGTAGTTATCTTAAATCTTGTTAAACAAATAAATTAATAGAGGACTAGATAAGATAACTTTGATTCATCGGAAAAATTAATTTCTTGATAATTTAATAGATATAATAATTCTAATAAAATATCATATTTGTTTACACACAATTTTTATTTGATAAAATATAGAATAAGATATATGGTATTATTAGATTTTGTTTGCATAAAGTTGTATTCAAACAATTTTTTTGGTATAGTCCCATCTTTACTATAATAAGATTAATGTATTTTATTTCATTTTTAGTATGAAAAATTTACTACTTATTTGAATATTATTTAATATAATTATTTTAATATTATTTTTAATTTGACTGCACTAAATTATAAATTCTGTGGAAAATATTATAATTTTGCGTAATGAGATAATAAACGTTATCAAAACTTTATCTTTTAATTAATTTAATAATAAACTCTTTGTACATATCTTATATGTTTTATATATATATAATATTTTGTAAATTTTGAACAACATGGAATTCCATATCCTTTATTAACAGAAAGAGTTGTAGCATTATAAAAACATATCGGTTTTTTAATTTTTTCTTATTGGATATTAAACTAATATTAACAGTAATTAATTTACGTTTTGTACTCGTTATTTTTAATGATTGCCGTACTATGAATTTATAGATAAATATATTCCGAGAAATAAATTGTTTTATCTAAATGTTATCTTGGATAACTCTTGTTTAATAACGAGAAATAAGAAAGCCGTTATCATTGATAAATTGTTTTAAGTACATGTTCCAGTAAATTTTAATCATGTATGAATTACTGTATGATTAAAAATAATACTAACCGGAAAAAAATAATACCAGTCCGGAAAGAAGAAACATAATTTAATTTTGGATATATCTTACAATTAGTACGTAATACAAAATATAAAAGGTCAGATTATTTTTTTCTCTAAACAAAAAAATGTAATCAGTGATCAGTGATATTCAAATACAGATTTGCAAATAAAAGAATTCGTCAATTATCACTCGCAATATATATAAAGTAATACACAAATAAAATATCGACTTATTTATTAAAAACTATGTTATAAAAAACAAATGATTAATAAAAAATATAAAATATATAAGAAAAAATAAGTAGAAATTAAGATTAAAACATCAAAGTCAATTATTCATATAAAATACGCAAATCAAATATGCCGGATTCTTATCATTATTCATAAATTAATTATTCCGATTAACTATCCATAATTAAATATATAAAGATCAATTTAAGAAGGCCGCATAATTTACGGTGTTTCTTTTTCTTTTCTTAAATTTTAAAAAGATATGTAGTTTCAAAGTATCTATTTCTTATATCGTGCATTCAAATTATCTACGTAATTTTATCATAATTTCATTATTTCATTAAATAAATAAAGATTAACTTCATATGTATGTAAACCAATGACAAAAATCGTAAAGCACACTTCCTTTATTTACCAGTTGAAATATCACAATAGCAATGCTTCGAAATTAAGTATCGACATCATTGTTAATTAAAAATTTTGTGTGATTGTGTATCTGTGTATGCGTAAGTCCAATTTTAATAGATTATATATGTAAGAAATTGGATAATAATATTAATTTTTCTATTTTAGCAATTAATTTATCAACTTTAACATTCAGTTTACTATTTTTATTTATGATAATTACACATTATATTATATGAGATCAAAAAATTTAATTTTATTTTAATTCAAAATTCTTGTTTTAAATAAATTATTTCAATTTTATAAACATTTTGCTGAAGAAATAGCTACTGTATATTATAATCGATTAGGAATTAAATTTTCAGATTAATGATCAAATCAACATTTATTCTATGCAGTTATTATTATTATTTTCCTTTTTGTCTCATATCTTAAAAATTTTTTCTTATTTTATTAGTCAATTAATTAAAATAACAACTTATTTATATTTCAAGTAGATTAACCTAGTATGATAAAAGTAGTTTGATAGCAGCATATGATAAAAATTAAGGTGACATTCATTATTTCTGTGATGAAAATAAAAATCGGAGTGTAAGTCGACAGTAAACGAAATGCACATGAAGTTTTTATCTCTTTTTCTTATATGCGACTTATGTTTCAATCTTTTTTTGTCAGGTTCCATACATAAAGACTTACAATAAAACTTTATTAGTAAATATCTAGTCAATATTTCTCACAAAAGTTATTTTAAGATTATTATATGGGCCATAAGTATCACACTGAAAATATATTTTTTATTAATATAATCAATAAATCTGCCTTGTTAAAATCAGTTTTATTAAGTATTTATTATTAGTCTTAACTCAAATTGGTTTATGAGATTCGTTATGCACAATCATCATATTACGACATAAGATATAACATGCAAAAACTAATATAATTACAATATATTTCCAGATGTCAATGATCTAAACAAAATTTATTTTCGAAGATGAAATTGGCTTTGACACTGTTGGCTTTCGTGGCTACGTCCACCGCGGTCCAATTAATGGATTCCTAATTATGGCAGATGAACTAGCACAAGAGTTTCAGGATTTCTTGGATCTCCTGCCTTAGGAAGAGATAGCTTCAATCACCCTTCAATACTATATCCAGGACAATGAATTCCAATATCTATTCCAATATTTTACGTCCGATGGATTCAAGCAGCTCATAAAAGACATCCAAGCCCTGCCTGAGACGAAAGCTCTAATGCAGTACCTTTACAACGCCGGTATTGACGTTTACAAGTTGCAGAACAAGCTGTTGAACAACTGGTTCGGACTCACGCAGGTCATCTATGTCAATGATAAACAGATCACTGGTGGATATGCGATTCGCGAATACATCGATGACGTCAGAGCCGTCATTCATTCCGTTGAGGATCAACTTATCGCGCTCTACAAATCCAAGATGCAAAATTTCAAAGTGTTCCAAGATTTTGTCGCGCAATTGAAGTCCCCGAATTTCCGGGAACTCGTCAACAAGGTTCACGTACACCCGAAATTCCAGGAGCTTTTAAAACATGCCAGAAACGCGGGAATTGATCTTAAGGTTATCATGCACATACTGTCGTAACTTTTACCCAAAGTTCCTCCCCATCCTATCTTCCAATGTTAGATGTCATTGTGATAATAAAAAGTAAGAATAAAAAGTAGTTTAGTCAATACAATAAGAAAAATTTTTTTTATTTGCCAAATACGTCAATATTTTCATAAAATCTAAAAAGATTTTATAAATTATTCGGTCACTTAATTGTGTATATACCTCGTTTGTGCAAAATAAATAAACAATTGCCCTTCTTATACAAATGCTACATTTTCTTTTTATCTACATTTTTTCGTATATATTATCAGAAGAAATTTAGATATTTAAATATTATTGTATGTTGGATAGTTCATAGATCTTATTTTTTAAAATTACTTAAAATGTTTAACTATAAAAATTAAGAACTTTACTATGAAATTGTACATTTCTCTTACTTTTAAGTTTATTTACATAAACTTATTTACTAAAAGCATTAATTGAATAATAAATTATTAATAACTGTATCGTTTTAATTTGATTATTAATAAATAATTAAACTTAAGAAATAATTAAGTAACTAAAAATCTTATTAATAAACTAAATGCAAATTTGCATAATAGTATATAATTTTATAAAAAAAAATATATAAAATATATAAAACTGTTTTATTTCTTGCATTGTTTAATGATACAATTGTTTACAATGATTTAATTGTTATATAAATTAAAAATTTTTAATATAATTTTATTCTTTGCGTTTTCAATAATTTGTATTTAATTGTAAAACTATATGGATATGATAAAATATTTTTCATTTTTATTATAATTTTTATTTACTTGCGCTGAAGCATAATCTATAAAGACATTGTTATTTTTTCTTTTATTTATAAACAAATTTATTACATGTTTACATTGTTAAGCTGAATATTACTACTAAATTTAAAAATTGTATTAGAATAATTAAGTTTTTAAATGTTATATAGTTATAATCATATAGGAACAATACAATGTGGATGCTTGGCGTGTGCTGTTATTTGCTTTGACAAGTTATTTTGCTATGACACAAAACTAATTTTTAATAAAAGTACATGCAAAATAGAAATATATAGTTAAACGAGAAAATTATCTGTTAAGTTAGAAGCAGAATATTAAAGAAAGTCTATTGAACTTAAAGTTTGAAGTGATGTAAGTAAGAAGTGGTTATTTATATTGCATTAAAAACGAATTGAGCTTTGTATTTCGACTTTACATTACATGCAACAAATGAAATAACTTGTTTATTATAAAGTAATAAAATTCTCATTTATAATTTTTGAAATAATAATTATTTAATTTTAATTTAAAAATTACATTATTGTATTATTATTAACATCTTAATATTAACAGCTTCAACATACAATAAATAATATAAAAGGCACATGTTTAAAAAACCAAAGTATGCGCATACTAGTTTTAATATGGAAATTTGATGCCAAACATTCTAGTGGCAAGTTTCATCATTTCTTCAAATTCCAATCCATGTGCTCTGGCTGTTATAACAAAATTTTTATAAGTTTGATTTGCATACAGATCATCGATTATTTTCTGCATTTCCGGAGCCGTTAGAGCTTTGATAAAATCGGCGAAGACCTTGGAATTCTGCAATTTTTTCTGGTAAAGAGCATCAATCTTGTCAAGAGGTAGTATGTTATAAATATCTTTGATCATTCCTTTTATTCCATCACCGATCTTTTGTATTCCAATTTGAGATTCAAAAATGCTCTCTGTTTTAGGAGACACATAATCTTCCATTCCAATGACCTCGTGCAATGCTTTAACATCATCAGCATTTAATCCTGCCTTCTTTAAATATGTTATTAGTGCTTGATATTCTTTAAGAGCTTCGACTTCGCGCGCCATGGATTCAAATTCAGATGAAAGCAGATATTGCAGAGCATTCTGTACTTTTTCATCTTCTTCTACGTACTTGGTCACTATATCAGCAATTTGCTCTATCGGAAGAATTTGCAGAAAATCTATCAATTCTTCATTCAGCGTACGATCCTGGACAGAAACATCGTTCGGTACAGTGATGTTGAGGACAGTGATATACGGGAATTTAAGGCCAAATATTCTAGTGAGAAGTTTCGTCATTTCTTCAAATTCCAATCCATGTTCTCTAGCTGTCATGACAAAATTTTTAAAAGTTTGATTTGCATACAGATCATCGATAATTTTCTGCATTTCCGGGGACGTTATAGCTTTGATAAAATCAGGGAAGACCTTGGAAGTCTGCAGTTTCTCCTTGTAAAGAGCATCAATCTTATCAAAAGGTATTATGTCATAAATATCTTTGATCATTCCTTTCATTCCATCACCGATTTTTTGCATACCAATTTGAGATTCAAAAATGGTCTCTATTTTAAGCGGCACATAATTCTTCATTCCAATGACTTCGTACAATGTTCTGACAACATCAATATCCAATCCCGCCTTCTTTAAATATGTTATTAGTGCTTGATATTCTTTAAGAGCTTCGGCTTCGCGCGCCATGGATTGAAAGTCAGATGAAAACAGATATTGCAGAGCATTCTGTACTTTTTCATCTTCTTCTACATACTTGGTCATTATATCAACAATTTGCTCTATCGGAAGAAGTTGCAAAAAGTCCATCAATTCTTCATTGAGCGTACGATCCTGGACAGAAACATCGTTCGGTACAGTGATGCCAAGGACTATATACATGACGTCCGCTACGATTTGCGTATTCACTCCCCTGGTTTTGAGCCCATTCACAATGATCTGGAAGGATTTAATTTGGTAGATTTTGTTCACGACCTGCTGGAAATTGTTGGACTTGAGTTGGTCGATGAGGCCGACGAAAGCTGAAGAGGTTTTCATCTTTTGCACGTAGGTGCGAATAAACTTGTTAAAGGGGATTACTTTCTTGATGTCTTTGAAAAGTCCTGCAAGTCCTCCGGTTCTTTGTATTATCTCAGAATACGAATGAGAAGGAGGTACGAGTTTGTCGATACCGAGAGCTTTGTTAACTTCGTTTACTAATAAATAAATATCAACGCCTCCCTTTTGTATATAATTCATAAGATTGATCACTTCAGGAATGGCTTCCAAATCTACCATCAGGTCTTTTAATACGGTCGTAGTTAGAAGATAATTGAGAGCGGCTTGAACTTCTGAATCTTCTGACATGTAGTCCAAGGCGATTTTGTTAATTTCTTTAGTAGGGACTAAGTCCAAAAAGTCCTGGACATCCTCGTGGAGAGGACCGCTGCCGAAGTCTGGGAACTGATGAGCTTGTCCCAAACCGACAATAGCCAACACGGCAAACAACACTGATATATGCTTCATCTATAAATATATCCACGTAAAAAATTATTATTAAGTGTATAACAATTATATTTCATGTGTATAAATTAAACATAATAAAAAGAATTATTTTAAAAGATATATCAATTTTCTTAATTACGATTGTTTTATTCACAATTATATTGACAAGATAAATGATAAAGAGAAATAATTATTAGATATTATTTCTTTTTAATTGAGATATTTATTTTTTAATTATGTGCAATTTACTTTCATTTAAAAAAAAATGCAATTTTATTTTATCTATTTTTATGTATCTGTATTGATCTTTTTATAAAAAAAATTTTTCTTACCGTGGCTGCTGTGAATGTGATCGCAATGCCATTCGTGTATAAGTATTTATCGCAGACTTATATATCAAAAGATTTATCTTCAATCTTGTTAGACAAGTCATTTAATAGAGACGATTGATTTAATAGATAAGATTGATTGATAAGTCAATGGACATAACAAGTTGAACAAGATATCATACGGCAGTGCTGTATTAGCATGCCGTATTACCCGAAGCCAATCTATGTGATGCAAGCAGATTTAGGGCAACTGCGGCATTAAAAAAAATTTATAAAAAGTTGTCAGTTTTTGTCAGACACAAATGATTGCTAGGGCAACGGTTTTATTGCATAGGAGCAGCATGAGTTTTAATTCAGCCCTGATTATATGTTTACTTTGTTGAACGCAATTTTTTATTTGAAAGAATAAAGCATTTTGTTGGATTTTATTTGTAGAAAGTTTTTGTTGTATTAAAACAATTCTATTAATGTAGGGTCATTTTCACTAAAGGTATTTATTACTAACAATAAGATTTATATATTTTATTTTTTAAGGCGCGTTCAAGGAGCACATCATTCTGTCTTTATCATTCCTTAGATGTAAAGCAAGGATATAATGACGCGATAGCGCTGACAACGTGCTTTCTGAACGCGCCTTTAGTGTGAAAAATATTTACTACATTTATTTTAATATTATTTTTTTAAATTTGATTTTACAAAATTAGAAATTTCCTAGTAAAAATATTGTTGTTATGTAGCAAACTAAGATCAATATTTATTATCAGAACTTTTTCAATTTATTACTTTGATAATTAATGTTTTTTACATGTCTGATGTTTCACAAATATGATATTTAATATTTTTTACATGGAATTCTATATCCTTTATTAACACAAAGAATCGTAGCATTATAAAGGCATATTTTATTTTTAATTTCTTTTTATTATATATCAAACTACTACTGTCAGTAATCGATTTATGTTTTGTTCTTGTTATTTTTAATGATTGCTGTGTTACTATAAATTTACAGATAAATATATTTTGAAAAATAAATTGTTTTTTGAGCGCAATATCTTGGATAATTATATTATCTTGGATAATTCTAATTGAATAACGGTAATAAGAAAGTTGTTATCAATGATAAACTTTAAATACTTTTCCAGAAAATTTAATGCAAATCACAGCAGGATTAACATCAACAGTCTGGAAAAAAAAATATAATTTAATGTAGACTTAATAAATTTCATAATACAAAATGTAAAAAGTGGGAGTATTATTTTTTTTCTACGAAGAAAACGTAATCTGTGATTTTAAGATATAGATTAGCAAATAAAACAATTGGTAAATTATCACTCGTAATAAGATATTGCACAAATAAATGATAACAACTTAAAAACAACTATATCGCAAAAGATAGGATAATAAAATAAAATAAAAATTATAACTAAAAATGTTAGAATATTATTTCATTATTCAAATTAACTATGTAATATATATGAAGATACACGAATCAAATATGCTGTTAGATTTACATAAATGTAAATATAAATTTTATAAATATTTATTGTAATATACATATAATAAGAAACAGTGTTATATTATTATCATTTATTTTTATGGTTTTTATTTTATTTATCATATATATATATATATATATATATATATGTATGTATAGATGTATTATATAAATATATAGTTCATTTATGTATCATATATATGGATACATAAATTTGTATTATATATATATATATATATATATATATATATTATATATATATATATATAATATGTTAATATGTAAGCAGATATTGTAAATTTTTATTTTTATTCTTAAAAGCTTATCAAATGATTCTTAGATTTTCGTACAAATCAATATCTCAATCTGATCGCAGTTTTTTATCTAGTTCTCTAATCCTTTCGTACAGCTTGATATTAGTATATATATGTACGATAATTATTCACAGTTGTCAATACGTATCCACAACTGCGTACGTATCTGTCACGGTAAGTAAAATTTTTTAATATATTTTATATATATGTTGAGAATTTTAATAAATATTTATCTAGCGACGCGATTATATCATCGTGACGCCAAGTATATATTTAAAAAAAGATACAAATTACTGCTCTCCTTATTTTATCCGTTACCAATCTATAATTTAGTACAGATTTTTTAATTTTTTTAAATAGAAATTTAATTATATGAAACTATAAAAAAAGGCCATACTAACGAGCATTAATAAGGTGGCATTTAAATACAAATTATAAAATTTATTAAAAGCGAACGGACGCGGTACATGTTTCGACTTTACTTATTGTTAGTTCAGAATAAAAGAGAAATTTTTGACAATCAATTTGACTCTTAAATATATCGACTCTTAAATTGCTATTTCTTAATGCCGATTACGTTATTACTTTTCTTCCGTATATATCGACTATGTGATTTTCGTTTTTTTCTACATTAATTATTGTTATATACCGACTATGCAACTTGTTTAATTATTTTGATTTTTTGCGGCTGAAGAAGACTAAGTAAAGTCGAAACATATATGTATCGCGTCCGTTCGCTTTTAATAAATTTTATAATTTGTATTTAAGTGTTACCTTGTTAGTACTCGTTAGTTTAGCCTTTTTTATAATTTGACTGTTTTTACATTGACGAACTGGTCTTATATTGTTAGTTAATTATATGAATTTCTTTTTTACAAATTCTTATTAACGGAATACATACAAATTTTTTTAATCGTTATTTGTAATTTAATATTTTATTTAAGGAAAATCTAGTTAAAATTAAATAAGACGAAGAAAAAAATATATATATAAAAAAACATAATTTTTTTCATATATTTCTATTTCATTTTTATTTTAATTTGCAAAATTTCTGACCAGTTTTGATTTATTTATAAGATAGAGAATACATGTAATGTTAAACAATCTAAATGAAATAATAATTATTCTATAAACAATAGTAAGTTAAACTTGATAATAATAATTATTTATGTCATTGCTTTTATATTAATAAATAATTAAGTACTTTGTATATATAAATTAATTACTGATGAAAAACACAGATATGTTTTTCAAAATAATGCTTTCCATATTTAGACGTATATAAATGTCAAATGATATGACACACACACAAACACACGTGATATTTATACATATTAAAAGATATGTTGTGTAATACACTTAATATCAATTTACAGATGAAGTTGACATTAGGGCTGTTCGCCATTTTGGCCATCATCAGTCTGGGACAAGCTCACCAGTTCCCGGACTTTGGCAAAGGTCCTCTTCATGAGGATTTGCAAGACATTCTAGATTTAGTCCCTGTAGAAAAAATTTTTGAAGTCCTTGTGGACTACATGACAGATGATAATGAAGTACTAGATGTTCTTGAAGACATAGCAGATTCAACTACAATCAAAGAAGCGGTATTAGAGTTCCAAGCCATTCCTGAAGTGAGCAAGTTTGTCGCTTATCTACGTAAGGAAGGCATCAATATCAATGTAATGAACCTGATTAACAAATCGCTCGATATCAAGGAATTAGTATTATCTAATTCTAAAGAATACTCTACGATGAAGAGAACCGGTGGACTCCGCGGAATGTTTGAAGACATGAAGAAACACATCAATTACGATGTCTTTATTAGTATATATGTGGATAAGCTAAAAACCTCTGAAGCCTTCGTCAACTTCATCAACCAAATTAAATCCAAAAACTTCCAACAGATCATTAACAAACTTTACGAAATAAAGCCCTTCCAGGTCATCCTAAACTATCTTGAAGTCAAATCAGTAAATTTAAAAATTGCCGCAATTCTTAGCATCAGAATAATTGGTATCACTGTACCAAGCCGTTCTAAAACATTACTGGAAGAGCTTATGGACTTCATCAATCTTATTCCAATAGAAAAGTTTCTCGATATAATAATCCAATATGTAAATGAAGACAAACAAGTGCAAAAAGCTTTACAGTTCGTATTAACAGCAGAATATCACGATTTGCTACGCGCCCTGGAAGCTCTTAAGGAACATCAAGCACTGGTGGTATATTTAGAAAAGGCTGGACTTCCTGTTATTGAATTTATCCAGGAAATGCATCGTGCAATCGGCATGGAAAAATATGTACCACCCAAAATAAAAGATCTCTTTACTAGGAAGTCTTTAATTAAGACGCAAAAGATCGGCGAAGGAATGCAAGGAATGTTCAAGGATCTTTATGATGTATTACCTTTGGACAAAATTGACGCGCTTTTCCAAAAGAAGATGAAGACTTCCAAAGTATTTGTTGATTTCATCAAAAAGATTACGTCCAAAGAAATGATAAAAATGCTTAGTGATCTAGGCGCTCACAAGACTTATAAGGAGTTTATCACAAAGACCAAAGAAAAGGGATTGGACATGGAAGGATCAGCAATTCTTAGCATCAGAATAATTGGTATCACTGTACCAAGCCGTTCTAAAACATTACTGGAAGAGCTTATGGACTTCATCAATCTTATTCCAATAGAAAAGTTTCTCGATATAATAATCCAATATGATAATGTAACAAAAAAGTTACTAATTTAATAATTCTTTTCGCAATAATAAATTCGGTATATTGTAATAAACAATTTTTATTTTATTTTCTTCCTTTTCTTACAGAACCTGAATATAAATAAACCTTAATCGAGAAAAAGAAAATTAGATAAAGATAAATAGAGAGTTTGCCATTTTGTAAAAAATATTTTTTTGTATGCTTAAAGGTACATATAACATAGCCCCAATCAACAGTTTTTTGATTCAGTCCATTTTCTTAAAAAAATTTTTTAACGTTGATATCATTTTTGGTCTTTAAGGTGGTCTAATTTTTTTAGTAAAAGAGCAAAAAGCATGTAACAATTCTTATCCGTAATTTAGTTATTATGTATTTTTATTATCAGTTAAATTAAAATGTATGAATAACATCATTTAACTTTTACGTGACTAACGGCACTGGCGCAGTATAATCGCATTGAAGATAAAAAGACAAAGTGTATTTATAGATAGCAATATTTGTAGTATGTAAAATGATATCAAGAATATTATCTTCACGATTATCTTTTCAATACAAGTTTTGACTCATTTCTTTATTTAAATAGGAATATTAAAAACTATTACAAACAGATAACCGTAGATGTTTGTAAGATATAATATTTATAGTGTATAACTATTTATAATCTTCTCAGAGAGATCGAAATTAATATCGATATTTATTGCGAAATATTAAAATTATAATATTTTAGAGATTTCTCTATTTTATTACATACAAAAGACGTGTTTTATTAGCAGAAATTTGAAGAAAGTAGACAGTCGATTTCTTCTATCGTTTTACGTTAATCTTGTATGTTTATAAGAATGTGATTGTACCAGCGGAATAAATTTCAAAATAGAAAGTGCAAAAACGGCGATATGCAGAATTCATAGCTATCCTCTTTCGCACACTCAGAGCCATCTAAATGATTCACGTCATTTGCCTAATACGAACGAATAATTCATTGCTAGATTTCAGCGAATAAATGCGAATAATTTTTCTAAGGAACGGAGAAATTACATCTACTATAATCGCATATAACCATTCTTATCATGTAGTTGTTACGTTTTAATAAAATATCTGACAGAAATCTATTTAAATATATATAAAATCCATCTCAACTGTGAAAAATGTTACAGATATATAATACTTTATCACTTACTAAGTAAATTTACATTGATTTAAATTTTAATATAATCATCAGCAAACTTATAATAGATTATGCAATGCATTCATATATAATTCGCATAGTATTCTTGTTTATTATAAAAATTCAATCGTACTAATTTTAGGATCTCCAACTTTCGACGTTGTAATTTATTAGACGGGTTTCATCACGGAGAAAAAAAAAGATAATAAAATATTATGCATACTTCTGACAAGATCGTTCGGCTAACTCGAAAGAACGATGGCAAGCATTTTAACGGGACGCTTTTAGCAAGCACCGAGTTCATGGACGATAGAAATTAATTCCTCTCGGGATGTCGGGGACTGTATGAACGCGCGACGATGCCGGTGTGAGTTTCATGCTGAGGCTACGATAGCAGCAGCCAAAGACGAGGGGGGAAGGGACAAAGGAAAGTGCTGCTTGAGGTATAGGATTCAGAAGGGCGTGAGGGCAAGCGGCTCGCGGTGTCTGCAGCAAACAATTCCAATTAACTTGCTGGAATTGGAATAGGACTCGTACTCGTTCGCCCGGCCGACTCTCGGCTCGTGGATGCCGCGGCGCCGAGGAAGATGAGGACATGAGCATTCCTTCGTCCATCCGTCCATCGCTCTTCCTCATTTTTCTTCGTCAAATTTTGCCGTTACGCTACGTCAAATTAGTTGCCCGAAAGATTAAAATCGAAAGATTATAACGATTTCTCCACGAGAATCGACCGGCTAGAAAGCGACATTATTTTCTTGTGTTATTCTCAGTACTTTTCCAATTTTAAAATGCCTATTAATTCCGAGTGTCTTACGGATTAGAATAAGAAATTAAAGAATTTTTACGAAACCTTAGTAGATCTCAAAAAAGAATATTGTAACGAGATACGTCAGAAGCAAACTTTTGCGATTGAATTCCATGCGAACGACAGAACACATATCTGTTCACGAAACACATTTTCTTTGCGAACGCATAGTCGCCAGCCAGGGGCCATTATCCGCTGCATAATGCTTGTCATCGACGTCATCGAGACAGTCATAAAGCAAAGTGAACGGAACCGCGTCCTTGCCCTAGGCAATACTGCTCCTGAGCTGCTCAGATATTGAAGACCCCCGAAAGCTGTGTGTACCAATCCCGATGTGTGCACAACGTCTAGGTCCCCTCTCAATATTATTAAATCCTAGCTTGTGCTCGTGGACTAATCGCGCAGGACAATGGCGTTGGTTCTTTAAGCGTCCGTCACGTCATGGTAACGTATCATGAATTTGATAATCGTTGGTCGAAATTTTGCCGTTGCGCGCCAACTTCCTCGTTTCGCATATAAGTAACATAATCATTTTGATATGTGCCACATGGTTAGATATCATTCTCTAAGACAGATGAGGGATGTTAAATAAAATTCAACTCTTAAATCGTAAATTTTTATTTTACAATCCAATATACTTCTTATTTATCTATTTTTATTGTGCTATAGTTATTTGGTCTGTTCTGACATGTTTTCTTCTTTTAAATTATTCATCGAGAAGAATATAAATTATAAACATTATCGTAGAATATAATTATATATGATTACAAGATAATGTATTACAAGATAACAATCTTTTTATAAAGATTTTCATAAAAATACTTTTATAGAGGAATATCCATTTATCCTTTCAATAAAATTTTTATTGCTTTTTTGCTTTATCATCTAATCGCGTGTAAGTAATTATGTCATGTCCGTCAGATCACTATATAATCCCTGATCTCCGTTATGATCCCTGATCTTCCGTGTGAGAGAACATTTCGCATCATATGACCGCGGCAAATCGACGAGTTTACAGGCAACGACGGCCGTTTACGGAGACGTAATTGCCCATCCGATGATCGCGCAGGCGTCATATAATCACCGGCTCGTAAGCCTCGAACGGCTTAATCCGTGAGGCGTCGCGTCATTACCCGCGTCGTCAGTACGACGTCGCCGACGAGCGTCGGCAATCGTCGTCGACACCGCTGAAATCCCAGTCAGGGAGGACATTTAAAAGTAAGTATAGTTGGACAGATCCGCCTAGCGGGTTTAAAAGTCAAGAGTGCCAAGAGCGCAATTTATCCCATCCATTTGCGGGATAGGGAGAAAGGAAGAGAAAGACCTCGGCGGAGAAGAGAATGGCAACTACATGAAGCGAGGTACAACACAGAAGAAGAGGGCTCAGAACGCGCGACCCCGCTTTTACCCTCGACTCGTTACACCGACACTACGACCACTTCATTGAATGACTCATTTTATTTTCCGGCATGAAAAGTATCATTTTTCTCGCTTGAAACTCCTTTTGCTCAACCCGGACCTTCATATTCCGCCCGCCTCTTTTCGTGGTCCGACGACAAGGCCCGTTTCATCTTGCTATTCTCATTATCCACTCTCGTTAAGCAGAGTAGTATGCGAGTTTTTGTTCAGAGAATGGCCGTACGAATATCTCAAACGCAAGCTTAAATATAGATATTTATGTATATTGTTCATCATATATATATATATATATATATATATATAGAATCTTTATTATTCTAATAAAGTATAAATAATGTTTATACGACTTTTGTTTCAAGAGTACGTGAAAAAAGCAGAAAATAAACGGAAAAGAAAAATAATAATTTTACTTCTTCCAAGAATTAATTAAAATCCACTATATAAACATACGTGCGATCGATAATTTTTTTTTCTTTTTGAAAGATAGAAGACGCCAATTACTGCACTATCGATCGCACGGCGAAGATGTCGTGATAGATATCATCCGCCTTCATACGGCACGAGTGTATCCAATATTGGAAATTCTATACCACCGCCCCAAGCGGATGTGGTTGTAGCCGTTCACACGTACGACCACCATCTCGATACAGATATGTTTATTACCGGGAACGACATAGACACCCTCGCTCTGGCTATGACTTATCGGACGCGACTTGTTGCGCGTACACGTTCAACCGCGAAACAATTGTTTCCGGTCTTTCCTAGATTACGACGTTACGTTGTAGCGATTAATAACGCGATCGATGATAAACTACCGTTGCGAACCCGCGTCACGAAATCGCAATTAAAGGATCGTAAAAGTCCGATAACGGACAATCAATATTTTTTTACAGAGACTCCCTTCGCCGCGCGGATGCACATCCGAGAAATAAGACGGCTGCGAGACTCGTTAAACTCACAAAAGACGCGCACTCAAACAGCAGAAAGCGCTTCTTCAAAGTCTTAAAAAAGTACTGTATACTCCTTCCTTTATAAAGTCAGCGATTATACGATCTGATGAGAACAGAGCTTAAAGTTTTAGATGCTTCCTAAAAATATACGTCTGTTCTTGATAAAGTTTGAATCACGCGTACATTTTATTTTAATGATTAACGCCTCAGTCTGCTAATTATTGACAGATAAGGACAGTGACTGGTTTAAAGCTCCAGAAATTCTCTAAATAAAATAATGTTGTAATAAAATTCTCTTATATACATATAAATCGTAAAAAGTCTTGGAAATAAAATTAATATTGTATTTATGCAAGACATATTCTGCTATAATAAGCAGAAGTGAATATTTTAAATTTTATTTGTTGATAAGTATACATTTTTTGGAAAATTGCTACGAATTAAATAGTTTAATTTTATACATATATATATATATATCTAGTTCTTAAAAAAAATCATCATGTACTTAATTTTAAGAAGCAAATCATCAACTTATTTCTTTAAGCAACTAAATGTAAGGATTAACGCTATTGTGATAGCAGGTCCAATCGTCTAACACGTGTGTCGACTGACGAGCACGAGGTCGTGTAAGGCAGGAAACAAGAAAGAGCAGAAACGTCGAGAGAAAAAAAAGGAGAGGATGAGATACTGAGCAAACGTCGCAGAAAGTACGAGTGCTGTTAGGATGCGAGAAGTACGTTCGCAATCAGCAGAGCTGCTGTCTGTGCCGCCGGTCCGGTCGAATTCGCAGGCGTATCACGTTGTTATATAACGAGATTATATCATTAACCAGCGAGATGCAGGCAACGATTGTTGTCGATAACGATATAAAGTTGAGCTTCATTTTTGCTGATTAATAAACGTCGCATGTGCGGAGCTCTCGAAATGTGTAACGCTCGATAAATAAAATTATCAATTAAAAGCTTGTCACTATATTGCAGATCTCGTAAAAAAACGTAATAAACAATGTTACAGAAAAAAGAAGAAATCTCGTATATATAATAGTTGTATATAAAATAACATTGACAGAATATAATGGCTATTTAATGAGAGATAAAAGACTATTTTGCACCAATTCAATTTTAAGATATTGTTAAGAAGATTTCCAATCCTTCTATTATAAACAACATAAATATAATATTATCTCATTGTCAGTATAAGATTTATCATGAATTTATAATGAAGAAAATATTAGTTCTTTACTTATGCAAACGCTTACATATCATTCATTTGCGGAGTTTGTGTAATAAAATTATAAAATTTTATCTTTATATCTTCTTTTAAAATTTTCATATTAATAAATAAATGCAATCGTTGTATTAAATATAAATAAATTAAAAAAGATAATTATATTTCGTATAATAATGCGACAAATAGAGACTGCGTCAGAAAAATGTAGATTACATCAACATGATGTTTTAAATGAAAAAATCTTAATAAGTGTATATCAATGATAAGACACGTACTAATTGCAGCCGTGGTACATATATTCATAAAATTAATCAAATCTTTATTAGCAGGGACCGTAATCGTTATGATATATATATGCAATAAATTATACAATAACAATTATTTGTCGATTGTTATTCTCATCCCTTGCCATAACGATTATCAAGTAATTTTTAGTTTTCAAGTCGGCGATAACGATTATTATAGGATTTTAAATAACGATTGCTCCATAACGATTATGAGCTGATTTGATCGATATCGATGACGCTTATCATATCGATCCTATATGCATATCTGATAACAATTGCATTTTTTTCATTTGTGTGAGTTTTAAGATGCAAATTCATGAGACGTTCGTTTTAGCGTTAGGATCATGGCACACAGAAAAACTTTTAAGCAGTAAGATGTATAAGCAGTAAAGAAATCAACATGTTGGATTTTCGACGCTAGCGTCAAAAAAAGAAGCTGGATTTTCTCAGCGTCAAAGACTGTTATTGTTTTGTTTTAAACATTTTAAAAACGAATTATACGATTGATATTAAACTTGATGTTACCGCTTTTCATGCAAGCCAACTATGATCACGTAATTTTGACGCTAAAAATGAGCGTCAAACGTCAGCATGAAAAGGCACCTTTATGGAAAAGTGAAAATGTCCAAAAATATTACAATTGTCTTTATTTTTCTTGAACTTTTAACACTGAAATCGCCAAGTGGCTGTATTACAAGCACTGGTCGTAATAATACCCTCAAATACCAATAGGATCGAGATGATAAGCGTCACCTAATAATCGTTCTCGGTGACTGATAACGATTAAATCAACTCATAATCATTATGGGGAATCGGTACTTAAAAATCATCCGATAATCGCTTTCGCCGACTTAAAAACAAAAAATTACCTGATAATTGTTATAAATATCCTTTTTAAAAAAAAATCAAAAAATAAGGATTCTAATCAAATTGTATAGTGCAGCTTTCAAGAATAATATTGGTGTACTTAAAATAGGAATATGATAACATTTAGGCAATGTTTTTTTCAATCAAAAATTTGGAAATATTCGTTATTTTTGGTCACTATTTATTAGGCATTTTAAGTATATTAGATATCTTGAATATGCTATAGGAAAGGAAGTCTCAAGCATCTTCAATATTTCAATAACCCTCTTCGATCTTTTCGTGGGGCAATGGCGATACTAATGAACCCATCGTCTCGATCACGTCTCTGAGTGACCCATCTTGGCTATGAGTGAATAAATGAATTTCATACGTGCCTCTTGGAACAAGCATTGGAATGCGGCAATGAAAATGGTCTGTGGAATATCGTGACGTCATCCTCAAACAAGTTTCTGACCTGTAGATGATTAATACCACCTAGTAAAGAATTCTTGAGGAAAATGTCGATATTAATGCAAAATAATAATTGATAATGAGATTACAAAATAAAATCCAAATAAAGTAACTAAATGTAAAATAATTTAAAAAAATCTTAAAGCGTAAAAATGTTAGAAAAAGAAATTCTCAGATTCTCGTGCTATCTTTATTTTGTATGAGATCATACCTAAATTATTACGTGTATGAGAAAACATATAGCAATGCGAATTATGAATGTATATTCTTATATAAGAAAGATAATTATTCTATTGGCGTCTAAATTAACACTTTATATTATTTTAATATTACATTAATTTATTACATATTACAGTTTAAAAAATTTTATTTATTTAAAACTTTATAATAAAGTTTCAAAATATTTCGATATTATTTCATATAAAAATGTAATTTTTATTTTAGCTCCAATCATGTATTTTAATACCAAACGCCAGAGCAGAGAGATCGCGATGATAAAATTTGATAAAAGTAAAAGATATTGAAGATATTCGGAAATAATGTTGCAATGAGAATGATCGATATAAAATGGGAAATTAAAAAATTTATCTATCCCTCGATTGCGACTCGAAGTCACTGACAAGGATGTTTAGGTAGGTGGTAGGTGGAGGCCTTCGAGCACTGTATACAGAATTTCCATGGGAGGAGGGAGACGGGGGCGAATTCATGGGGTAATTCCGTGTTCGATACATCGTGCGCGCTTAAGGCTGCGATGTTACTGGCGTCACATAAGCGTAATACCGGATAAGCCGCAATAATGCAGACCCGCCGTGCGTGCATGCGAAAGCGGAATGGATCCTGCTGCTCGGAGAGCTTCAAGAACCAAACGTCCGTGGCGTAATCATTGTACTGAAACATGACGGGGGAGGGGGGGAGGTGACGTAACGTTTCACGATAATCCAGCGAATCGGAAAGTTTTAAAATTTTGTATTAAGAACAACCAACTCTGAAAATAAATTGTAAGTCGTAAAGGTAAAAGAGCCAGATTAGCTACATATTAGAAAACACAAATTCTTTATGCAATGTTTTTATAGGTTTTAATATCATGCTCTTTTCTTTTGAATATCAATTTTACAAACGTGCAACGTGCAAGTCAAAGCTGATAATTGTATTTAAAAAAGGGATAAGAAACATTGGATGTTTAATTCATGCTCTGGAAGCGTACGATGAATAACGGACAAGAGATTAACTCAACTTCGCGTTATACTAATTTCACTCAAGAATCTACTTCTCCGTTGTTGTCGGATTTTTATATTCGCGCTTTCCTTTATATATTGTAGGGCGCGAAACAATACATGGCCGGGAAATTTCTCTCCGGCGAGAGAAATGGTGTATCGCTTGAAATTAAATCATAAAAAGAACCGCGGGTTCTTCCTGAACCCCTGCCGACGTAAAAACGGCGAGAACAATGAAAGAGCAGGAGCCCACACCGAGGTAATTAGCGTGAGAAGCATTAAGAAGACACGAGGCAATTTTGGTCGGCCATTTTTCATGGTAATCCGCGGCATTCGCGTGGCGTCGGCCCGCTCGAATCGGCGTCTTCATTTTGCCACAATGCAACCATGAAAACGGAAACAGATGAGAGAGTCTTGAGCAAAGAGGTTAGAAATCGAGGCGGAAGTGGGCAGTAAGGACAGAAGCAGCAATAAAAGAAAAGCCTTTATGAAGACGAACGAATTTAAGAAGCTCAACAATAGATTCAAGCTTATAGATTATAAAAAGTTTTATTGCAGATATTTTGTACATAAAAGCAAAATGTTCCCTATTAAAAAAATTGATAGAAAATGATAGGAACTGATAGGATCTAATTCCAAATATTTTATCGTGTTTTATCGTATCTATGTTCCACTTTCTCTATTTCGAAAGAAATGTTATCGCTTTCTATCGTTTTCTATCTGATAAAAGCAATTTTTAATCGGTGAAATATCGATAGAATTTCTAAAGTAATTACTTACTGTTTTATATTGTTTTAATGAAATTTATCATAAATAAATAATTAAAACATTATCCTAATAAACTGTTTATACGTGATAATTCTTTTACGGTTCATAACTATAATTAAAAACAATTATATCGTTTTTGTCGTTTTATCAATTTTTTTTAACAGAGTTATCTCAGTTATCTATGTTTTCTTTTTTCTTTTCTTCGTGATTAGAGTGTTTATTACATTACGATATCAATTTATAATTAATTATTAAATTTAATAGAAGTACCTGTTATTATTAAATCTCTCTTTCTCTCTCTCTCTCTCTTTCTCTCTCATTCTTTTTTAAATACAAATTTTAATGTCACAAGCTCATTCATTAATAATATTAATTTAATAATTTATTACTATCATAAAATATGTATTATGTTACTTTCATTACTGCTATTCTAATAACATTAAAGCCGTATTATAAGAATGAGATATGAGGTAGTCACCCTAGCTGATGTACGCTTCATTAAATCCTGCAAACACTCGGATCGTTCTAAACTCGCGCCGAAGCCGTAACGCGATTATTCAGTTTCGTTCGTTTCACCGTCTTCCCATCGGACAGATCTCTTCTTGTTGAAGAAGACAACGTGGCTAAAGACATGGAAGAAGAAGAGACGCATCTGCGACTCGCTTGAGAATTTAACTTCATTTGAGTTGGAAAGGCGATTAAATACCGTTTTGTCTGATTATCTACCAGGTTTTCCCAGATTCGAAATTCGTTAATCTCCTTTTACTCGATAATCGTTTTCCTAATTAGTGTAAGAATGACTGATAGTTATACAGAAGTTGTTCTCCTAAAACTTAAACTACCATTTTGAAGAAGATTCTTTAAGAAAGGCTTATTATTAGAAGCAATAATTCTTAATTATAAAATAATGAAATTTATTACTGCCATATATAAATATATCAATATTTAATTACATAATAAATAAATATATACATATATCACAGAGAGTAATAGTATAATTTCATAATTATATTCTAATTGTAAGTATATTCATAAAATTGAACGCTATATTTTTCATTGCTTTTAAATAAGATGCAATTTGAGAATTAAATCAAGCTTCAATGATTATTTTCGGAGTTAGCTGTGAGACTCCTCACGGTCTATATAAATTTTATCCGAACGTCAACATAGTACCCCACCCTTAGAGCGATCTACCCAGACGGCGGATAATCCGGCTTTGCGCGATCGGTCCGTAGCTGAAACGATTTGGATACCGGACGTGAAAACCGCATTCCGGA